GGCTGATAAGGAACTTTCGAAAATAAAAAAATTATGTCAATTTGAATGATATGTATAATTTCAAAATCAATATCTTAAAAATAGAAAAAAATATACTGAGAAAAATGCTTTATTTTCGAGGATATTCATTTAAGCATCTTAAGCGATGTGTCAGAGAGAAAGAGATGTACGAGAGAGTAAAAAATGAATCCTCTTTCAACCGTTTGATCCTATCTGACTCGAATAAGTTTTTTTTGTTCGCATTTTATGTTATAATATTGAGTCGGAACGAAAATTCATAGTGCTACTTCATTCGTCTATATTTAAAAAATTCTATATCTATATTTAAAAAAACCATGTCTATATTTAAAAATTTGATAATTATACCATTTGATAGAGCAAAGTGTCAGCTTTAAGAATTTGTTCTTTGAATTACGGCACGATGATTTTTAATGAAGTTGTAAACAGAATAAAAATACTCCTTTTATTTAATCCGCGGTAACTCGGTAACAAATAATCTCAGGAACATTTTAAAAAAACGATTTTATAGGGAAAACTAAACTTTTACTTCGAAAAAAAAACTTTTACTTCGAAAATTTTCCCATTTTGTTTAGCTCATAGTTTCCTATATGTAAAAATTAATGGTGATAATAATTAAAGATTCGTGTTACTTGCACTTTTTACACTGAAAAAAATTTTATTCATTTTTGGTCCAATGAATGATCGTTAAATCAATATCCGACTTAATATAGTTAACTCATTGATACAATAACTGGATTCATTTATACAACTATATATTCATTCTTGCAATGAATTCCAGGAATAGTTTTATAATCTAAATCATTATGAGAATTCATTGGACCAATTTTCATTATTTTTTCATAATTCAATGAATATTTTATTGTATTTACGTACAGTTTTCAGTGTACACTCGGTATCTTCGCTTTTTCTCTTTTTAATATCTAATTATATATTTATCTCGTTTTAAGTGCAAACATTTTTGGGAATTCAAAACAGCGTGAACAAGCTTTCACGATTGCTATTGTGCACTTTCTCGAATCTTAAGTTAAGATTGCGACAATTTTTACACGAGCTTTGTCAAAAATTTCACGACCTCATACGCGAAGATGTCACTAGACTAAGAATGTGACAGTGTTTTGTTTTTGTCTCGATTTCCGGCGGTGCTGTGAGAACCTCGGTATGACCGATCGTTAAACGTCACAGTCGCAACACAGGGGCAAGATAATATCGCCGCCGTTTGCGTTCTATTCCTTCGAAATGAAATCTGTGTCGGCGAATCCGTCGGCCCCCGCTCGCCCACTCCCTCGCTCGGCCCTCAGCTCGATCCTCCCATCCACGGGAGATCTGGGAGCAATGTTGCTAATTACTACATACCACCGAATGCGGCATAACCCGCGACCCATGAATTCCACCGCGCTGTAGCCGATGGTGTACAGTCGCAAGAGTCAGTTTTCATCCGTGTAATTTGTGGAAATTGCGGTTTCCTATGAGCGCGAGGCGAACTGATAATGCACTACCAAACGTCAGCTCGGTGCACTTACATTCTCTAATATTATGCGCGTATAGATACACATCCACACAAGCGAGATAGTCGCTGGTTTTTTTCCCCCACAATTTAGTCGGCAAAATCCGGATTACGTCGCGAAGCGAGAGAGATCTAGGTATCTCCTTCTTTTGATGTACTTTGAAACTCATATAGTTATAGTTTACAAATCATCATTATTTACAAACTAAGATATTGTCTGATTTAATTTAATTTAACGCTACCACACAGCACACTTTATCCGAGGGACGTCCTGGGAACATCCTTAAGATGTAGTGTCTAGAGACTCCTCTTCAAGGAGTGTGTGCTGGGTTGTTATAGTTTTTTAATTGAAATCGATGTTTCAGTAAGTAAAAAGAATCGTACTTTTCTGATATTCTTTACTTGGACGTTCTTTATTTTTTATACTAGAATATATATTTCTTGTTTCTTGTTCTTTTAATGACAACTAACACATCATCGTCACGATATTATGAGCCTCTGCGCGAAATTGATTGAACACGGTAGGGCAATACAGGAACGATTATTACATGTAGAATAAAGTCGTAAATATAAGGGCCACATGGCCAGCGCTACTCTTTGAAATGAAGAAAACCTGCAACGAGAGGATGACGATACGCATGAGAGAATATCGAGTTGTAAAAAATTTTAGTTATGTGTAAATTGATATTAAAACACTTAAACAATATTAATAGAGCTATTAAATTTTTAAATAGTACTTTAAATAAAACGTTATTAAGTTAATTATTTAAGCTATTCCGAGTAGTCGTTTATTGCTATCACACATAAATGTGATGAAACATTATACTTATATAAATAATATATAAAATAATTGTTAAAAAAGTTTATAAAAAGTTTTTTTATTATAATTATTTTAAAAAATTGAATCAAGGATTAATCTATTTATATAAAAATGTTGTAAATTTACGAAACGTATATAAATTAATTGATATGACAGGAAATATAATAAATATACTATAATAATATAACTATAATAAATAATAACACACACAATTAATTTTAATATAATGAATTATATGATAATCTTTCTAATTATGTTTTATATAATTTTCTTTTGTAAAGTATAGACCTTTCTTTCAAAATGTGTAATCTCTGCTGCTTGACGGTAAGAATCAGTCGTATGCATTTTTAGATGTTGCAACGATATTTCTTCGTACCGGTGGAAAGTTTTCAACGGACGTTATACTCTACGTCATGCCGAAGGTATATTCCAAAGGGCATAATTTAAAGAAGTTTCTCTTGGGGTTGTCGCGAACCAGCGCAGCAGCCAAACGAAAACCCAGTTTGAATGTAAGAGTATGTAAATGATAGGAGCTGCCAGGAGAGAGTTCATTATAACCGGCATGGTGCGACCACAAAATTGTTCGTGGAAACTTTTGTGAATGGCAGTTAATTATAATTAATTCCGTATTGTCTACTCGACAGCTCGTGCTAATTCCTTACTGCCGACGAATCGCACGCGAACACAAACCGCGGAGTTTCAGTTAGCACCCTCTCGTGCAGACAAATTATTACGAATGTTCAATTAAATTGTGCGTTTTCAAACTAACTTCCGTACGGCAGTCTTTTCGGCAAATTTTGCATTTTCTCGGCCGTTGTGTCACGTATTCGTCTAGGAACTTACGGAACGCTCTATTTAATACCTTTTCTTGCATTTCTTGTATCTAGAAACGCAAACTCGTATAATGTCGTAATTAAGAAAGATTAATTTTTCGTAAAGTGGCTAATAATTTCATACTTGAGCCAATTTGTAATTCAAGATTTAATTATAAAGAAAATTAACTAGAATTCAACACACAATTAATTAGAGTTTATTAAGGAAGATTTGTATTCTGGTGCATTATGCAGGACGTATTCGACAAAGTAATATATTTTCCAGCAGTTGTAAATTAACGTTATAATAATCACGACCTTTAGAATAAAAATAATTTAACAGCTGTGTTGGGGAAATTGAACGGTGATTAATTCAATCGTAGTATTACATCGTTAAAAGTACAATGCACCTCGTTCGATGCAAGTATCCCGATGCTCTGTATCCGCAATTAGAACGATTTCGCGAGTTTAATTCCGCAGAATTAGGAGTGCGGAACTGGTTCTTCTCATCCGGGCAACTCTCGGAAATTTCAAGAGTTTATCCCGACGGAGCGAGAGTGGGATTACAGGAGAAAAAGGGGTAACAGAAAAGGATGGCCCGGCACGAAAGAAAAGGGAAAAAGAAAGATGAACTTTGTCTTTAGAATAGCTGAAACCTCCTATTCTTTTCCGGCGACAAGTTTCGGCAATGATTTTTAAAATTGAAAGAACGCGGCGACTAACTCAGTATACGATAAACTCTTGTTTGGCATCGTTTCTATATCTCTTACAAAAATTTTCTAAACTCTCGGTACGATTTTTCTTTGTAGAAGCAGTTTTCATAACTTGTAAATATAAGAACAGATAGGTCAATGTGTTTTTATTTATCAGATTTAGATTTACAATAATCATGTTGTATACAACAGGTAATATAATAAAACTGTGTTGATAAACAACACAACAAAAAACACATAAAGAATATTTTGAATCTCATTTTATATCGCGCACAGAATATGTATATCATATATAATTATGTTATATTGTATAATTATAATATGTAATACGTACAAAAGTAATACATACTTATAAAAAAGTATATCTATAAAATATTATAAAAGTAATGTATCTATATTCTAATAACAATATTTTCCTCTTTTTTATAAAAGATCGTCTTCTTTTATAAAAATATCAAATCAAAATAAAGTTCATCGGCGCTTGACATAAACGGTAATAACGTAGAAGGGCAAATTAAACTTCAGCGTTGATATCTGCTTACGCGACGACCGAAAAGATTTAGCCTTAATGGAAGTTGAGAGTATATCGTGGAACGGAAATGTGCGGTGTATAGGCCCGACGAATCGCCGCGGCAGTGTGTGCGAAATAATAGGGTAATTGTTATGCTACGGCACGATAGGCGGAGGATCTGAGCTCCGTGTCTTCGATAAGACACGGCTCTGAGCATACTTAACGAACTTAACTTTCCACGATCGTATGGGCATCTAGTTTTCGGCGGTACGATACTGGATATAATGAGGGAAATGTAATAAAACCAGCTAGCGCGCCGATTTTATTATATTACACGAGAGACGCTATTGTATGTACCATAAATTTGAAGATATTGTAAAATGAGATTACAAAATTTCTTTCCTGATTAACTATTTCGTTATGTTCATTTAAATAAAACTGAATTGCCAATGATGAGGTTAGAAATTTCTTATCTTTTATTCAATAACCTCGATTGATTTTAATTCTATTTCCGATAAGAGAATAATAGATGTTTTGTGAAAAAAAGAGATTACTGTGGCTACTTAATTTTGTAAATTTTTATAAAAAACTTTAAAGTTTTATTTGAAAGCGTGTTCTATTCATTTTCAAATACTATCATTAAATGGTGTGAAAGTACGAGATTTGTCTACTTTCTGATTCTCTGGATAATTGCACGATTGTTTAAATGTCTTAGTTGTATTCTTAGTTAATTCGATAAATTTATCGTATGGACATAATACTTCACAGCCGGGAATGCTAACTTCTAACATTTTCGATGGAATACCTAAGTAATATATTATCTGTAAGAAGTAAACATTATCCATTGGTTATTAATTAGTCAAGTGACAAATATTATTTGCGTTGTCACTAGCAGATAGAAATGACATACTTACTTTGACAAAATACTTCTCATCTCTTTCGTGTAATTCTATAATAACGCTGCTCGTAAACTCTGGAAAATGACGTTTGGAAATATTTAGAGCAAGTAGCAATCCAGACACATTCATGTCATGTGCGGAAAAGAGATTAATTTTGCGATTTAGAGTTCCTTTGATCACTTTATTCATGTCGTCAATTAATCTATTTAATAATACACCTGCAAAAGATTGAATATTATATAGGAATATTTTATAGGAATATATAAAAAGTTAATTGATAATGCTACAATTAATTGAAGACTTGGCTTTTTAATAATTAAGCTCCTTCTTCAGACTTCTTAATACAATCTAGCATTATTTTTTAATAATTTGATAATTAGATGACTTATAAATAATTAGATTACTTATAAATAATATTACGAGGGTAGTTCGAAAAGCCTGACACAGAAATAACGCTACAAATATCAAACTGCTATAATTTTAGACAAGTTTGATCCTTCACAGGATTACTGTTAAAATTTCGGATAGATGTGTTCATTAGTTTCTTTATTTCGGTCATGTAAAGTAATCAACTTTTGATTCTTTTCATGACAGTGCACCCGCTCACATTTCTATAATTGAAGAAATTTAAGCGAATATATTGCTATAATGGAACCAAACGTTGGTTGCTTTAGGGCGTGTTCGGATTCCCACCCGGATGCTCCCCGGGTATTCTTGTTTAACGTTCAATAAAAACAAGGATGGAATGACACTCGAGTAGGAATCTGAACCCAGCATTGCACGATTAAAACAAAGAAACTAATGAACGCATCTATCTGAAATTTTAACAGTAGCGCTGTGAAGGATCAAACTTGTCTAAAATTATAGCAGTTTGATATTTATGACGTTATTTCTGTGTCAGGCCGAGAACTTTTCAAACTACCCTCGTACATATATAATTTTTATTTAAACATGCCTCCATTAAGATTATTTAGTTGATCGTAACTAAGTAGGTCAAAGAATAAGAGAGTCGCATTCAAAAGTTGGCCATTCGGAAATATGTCTTGCGTCCATTTAGGTAAATCTAATCCCATAGATGATTCTGCATGTAAAATACTATACAAACGAGTAAGGCCCAGGAGATTTGTAATATTAGTTCCTGTATAATTTGACGTTATCTCCATCAAATCGTCAAACTGTTCTATTTTCTTTTTCACTTCTGCATTTTGTAGCACATTTTTGTAAATATCGTTGTATCTAGTAAAGACAGACACACATAAGAAGAAATTTTTAATATTATTGTCGAATAATAATTTAAACAAGAAATATATAATTTATCCAAGCAGAACAAAAAGTCATCAAAATGATGTAAAAATGGCTTTAAAATGATTATTAAAAGTTACTTTTCGATCACAGTCACGGTTCATTTTAATTTCATTTTGACATTATCGTGATCTGTTTGGGTATGTAATAATTATGATAATTTGTGATTTATTTATGTGTTATATTATTTACATTACGTGGAGGAGAAGGTGGTATTATGGCCAGTGTATATATTGTGGCCTCCCTTAATATCTCCGATATTATATAGCGAATCCTAATGATTACTTATGAAATTATTTGTTCAGTAGCTCGCCGTTACACCATGACGCTAATATACCAATACTCAATAGCCAGCACTTATTATAACGCATTTTTACTTTATTTCGAAACGTTTCTGAGGTACATTTTAGCATTTAATTATACCTACTTCCTCATTTTTCTTAAATTTGAGCGTATTATCACGCGAATATATATATTTTTATATGTGTTTGCTATTTAACATTTTATTTGACTGTATATATTTTGAGTTATGCAAATTTAAACAATAGCATAGCACTTTGCTATATGTGGTCCTCTGTGGGTATTGATTACTCACGACCTCTTTTTTGAGGTTTTTACATCAAAACAATATTTTTAGTACTGAGATTTTTAGTACTGAGCATCTTATATGCAGAAGTTATGTGAATGTATGTACATACATTTATTTGCATACATTCTGAAATGTATTACTTTTATGTTAATTTTGTGATCAAATACTGTTTTCTAAGCAAAACTAATTTTTTAAGGCTATTTTTATAGAAGGCCACATTACCACCCATGTTTTTCTTCGAGTCATTATGCAATGTCACCATATTTTTATTAATAAAATGTCCTAAATAATAAATATTTCGTAACTTTGAGTTCAGAATAGATTCAACAACATTTTAATGAATGTAATTATCAAGTTTTAAATTTAAATATTGATTATTAATCAAGTTATTGTATAAAATGTAACTTGGGTGCCATAACACCACCTTTTCCTCTACATATTTTCTTCAAAATATAGTGTATTTTTTATCAAATCTTAAGAATCGTTGACACATCTATAAAGTATATACAAAAAGATATTTTTGTACACAATATATTAATTGCATTAATTATTTAATTGCTTCATGCTTGCAAAGAACAAAAATAATCGACTCCATTTGAAATATTCTTGTGAATGAGACATAACCGAAACTTTATTGCTAATCATTTGACGTATAACTATTAATATTAATATTGATCGAAGAAAAGAGGTTTGCTTACATAGGGCATCTAATTGAAAACAGCAGATAATCTTCATCCAATGGAAAATATATCATATCTACTGGTTGCCAAGAAAGCTTCGAGTTCCACTTTTGAACTTCGACAGGCGGATAAAGCGCCGCAAGGACTAATTGTAGGGTCATCTTGGTTCGAGGTACCCACGTGCTACGTGCGTAGACATTCGGTGGATAATACAAATCCCCGAGAAACTTGTTGTATTTTTTTCTTAACAGCAGCCCAAATTCGTACGCTCTTTTCTTGCCAATCTTAAATGTTGTTAATAAAGATAAAGAAGAAGTAGAAGAAACTGCGACCATACTATTAATATTTCTTGTAAGAAAGTGGCGCAAACTTAAAAATAAAGGAGCAATGTATTCCACGCAAAAACGAAGAAATGAGAAAAATGTTGATCTTTTCGTTATGTCGCAGACGCACTTACTTATGTGGCAGTATATTCGCTATGATACACTACGAAAAGCTTTACGAAGAGCAGAAGATGCAATGCATGCATTAATACTAATTTATGTATATAGAACGTCTCACTTTTCGCGCATCATATTTCGGACAAGGGATTTTTTAAGAACATTTTTTAACGATACTTTCAAGACATTTATAATTTTCGAATTAAGTATAATTAAAAAAGAATGAATTTTTGTAAAACTGAACTCAAATAAATAATAAAACGTTTCTAAAACAGTTTCGAATGGAGTCCAAATGGAATTTTAATTTGGGACTTAATTATATATATATATATATAGCATATGATGTTAAAAATTGTAAAGTTATATGAAATTGTAATTTCTCTTAATACCTTCGCTATGAAAAAATTAACTACAAATTGGTAAAAAATCTGCCATAATTAAAAAAATGTACAACAAGTATAAGATGATCTGAATATAATTTTTGAAGATTACTTTATCAAATAAACGTCCAATAAACATCAACTAACAGTAACATAACATCAGTATTATAATTTTCTATTCAATAATATAGCTATTATGTACAACGTGTGTTATATTACATTTATATTGTTGAGTAGGAAATTATAATATTGATGTAATTGTTACGATGTTAGTCGTAATGTTTATCGGATACATGATGCGTTACGATAAAACTATTTTAATGATAAAAAAATTAATAAAACGGTGTAATATATCTATACTGAAAATGTAAATCAGATCTTACATTAGTTAAGTCTCCGTCGCTAACTGGGTAGAAACTACGACCATTATATGGATCGTTTGGATAAGATTCACGATTCATTTGCTTGTCCATTGTACGATCGCCGTGTCTAAACACCTGAAAATTTTACATTTTAATTGTGTTAATTTTGAATACATTTAAGGAAATATATATTATAAATATATATATTTCTTATGAAGTGTGATTTTTAATCACTACCGTGCTGACTAATCGTAACGTCAAATGATCATCCACTACATCATCTTGCTGCTTTATAGTCTCAGACATTATAAAAGTTTTTGATGTTAATAAGCAGGAGTTAAATATTAACACAATGCTTGGGAGACGATGAAATTTTGCCATCTTCTAAATTGAACGGCGTAAATCAATCTCAGATATTTGTGATGAAATGTCTATAATAAAAATAATTCTTGACACTTACGTTATATTTTCGATAATCTTAATATTAAATTGTAAAAATGAGAACATCACTGGACGACGATTTTATTTAAACTGACGATATGGATTTTGAAATGTATTATAAACATTATGTATCAAATAATACAGTAATTCCTATTGACCTATACTTTTTGCACGAATGTTTACTATTTATTATTGTAGTTTCCATATATAGATTTGTATGTGCGTGCTAAACATTTTTCGAAGCATCTTATTCGTTTATAAACAATTAAATTTTTATTAAATTTCACAAAACATAACAAAAAGATCTTTTTAGTAATGATACGAGTATAGTTGTTATATAAACCAATATCTATATCTGTAACGATTAGGAGATAAACCACGAATTCAAATCAAATACAGATACTTGACACAGTTAGATAAAATGTATATATTTCATTTCCTAAGAAAAAATAGTAAGGAATACAAGCAGAAGAATGATATTTTTACATTTGTATAAATATTTTTCTAAAATCATATACGAACTGCCAATTAATCAAAGTCCCTCTCTTTCTCTCACCTTACTCACCTACAATCTCTACAATAACATCGGAGATTTATTCTCTACTCTGTAATTACAAAATTTTTAATTAAAATTATAATGTAATTTATATTAATGCGTAATATGTATAATAATCTTCACTTGGACTTGCAACGAGGTAGTCTTTACATATGACATTTATAAAAATATACGCAGGGTGTCTCTAGATAAATGCCATTTGGAATAACTACTAAAATAATAGTAGAAAAAGCGTAAATGTAGATTTTCTTTATTATTTTTTATAAAGTCATTTCGATAAAAATGTTATTCGTTTTCTTTATGCTTTCATGGTACTAAAATATATATATTTTTTAATATAAGATAATTTTAATACAACACAATATCTTAAAAAATTCAGAAAATAACATGTTCTTTGTTAAAATTACCAGACTTTACATAAAAAGTAATAAAGAAAATGTGTTTACTCTTTTTTCGTATATCCTACTGTTTAGCAGTTATTTCAAACAGCACTTGTTTAGAGACACCCTGTACATAGAGTGATTTATAAATGCATATCAATATTTCAAGAGGTAAATCTACATATAACTAAAGTAAATAAAAAAGTCGTATATATATCCTATATATATTCAGCATTAGAAAATGTGAGACAAAGTATAATCGTATGAGATAACAAGCTCTAATCGTACGCTATCGTTATGAGAGATTAAATGTGTCTTCAATATCAAGAACGTTTATTAGATTAGTTTATTATCTAGCTTTGTGTACATATTAATTGGAAAGACATAAAATTATATGTATAAGTTTGTTCGATAATAAACTAATTTAACTATATAATTATGATGCTTAAATTTGTCGAGACATTTACGGTATCCCAGAATAGTGTTATCTATGATAAAATTGTTATTGTCTCGAGACCGGATTATGATTCGACGAAAGAGATTTTCTTGGCTTTGAGACTGAGAACTCGAGCAATTCATTCTAAGAAAAGAGTTATTCGCAGATTAAATTTATTCGGTGAAAACAGAACGAATAATTATTTGCAAATCTTAATGGTTTCTCTATGTTAAATAATGTACGACTTTTATTTGTTACTTATGTCTTAGTTAATTCTCACAAATCTTTCGATAATCGGAGAGAAAGAAGAGAATGTTTAAATTGTAATTTCATAAAGATTCTTTGTAGAAATATTTGAATCTTGCATAAATATGAATTGTTACAAGAAAATGAAATCCACATTATTAGTAGCGACAACTTACTAGCGACACTTAATTTACAATTGAGGTCACTACTGGCAGCGACAACGTAATAATCCTTCGGACAACTTTTTAAGCGTATAATGTTCGAAAGAATAAAAAGAATCGAACTTAAATTCAATGAATTTAAAATATATCACCTCTCATTAGAAGAACTTATCGTGTAAGGAGTTTAAAAGCGAATGAGGAAAAGTATAAAGTAGTTTCGGACCGAACCGTGGCTAACTTTCTTTGTAAGTTTAATACTGATGAACTACGCGAATGTCCGAATAAGTATATGAATATGAATACCGAATAAATGGATGAATACGTGCCTACAATGGGATTTTCTTAAATGCAAATAATTGTAACGATCGAAACTGTAAAGCAATAATGTTATATCTCTTTTGTATAGATAATGAAGTCGACAATTTTTAATTAATGCTTTATAGTTAGTAATAATGTGAAGTACTCTATTTTTTTAAAAAGATCATTTTAGAGTTCTAAAGAAAGTAAATTTATATGTCTTTTATCCAATTCTGCTTTATCATCAAAAATTAATATGCTCCAACAATTTAGCCAACAACTTTAGTATTGAGTCCAAAAATCTTAATCTCTTTATTCCATTTGCTATTTACTTATGAAAGTGATCTTATTTTTACTAAAAATAAAAATTGGAGCATTATATAGATGGAGTACTGACGTTGACTAATCTTTTTGTTATTTCTTTAATTTTAATAATTATTGTTATGTAGTAATATCTTTATATAAAATAATCTCATTTATTTTCATTATGTTTTAATAACACACAGATATTCTTAAATTAATTTGAAATCCTTAAAAAATAATATGGTAAGAATATGCGTATATTGTGTGTGTAATGTGTATCTATGTGTGTGTGTGTGTGTGTGTGTGTGTGTGTGTGTGTGTGTGTGTGTGTGTGTGTGTGTGTGTGTGTGTGTGTGTATTATAAGGTACGCATAAAACATTATTCGCTTTATTTAGGATAATATTTGATTTATATTTTACATACTTACGTGCGATAAAATTTTTACTTTCGTAATATTCAGAACTTAATAATATCTATAATAATTTATTCTTCGTAAAAACCCGTTGTTAATAGTTATGGTTGCAGCATTAACGGCAAAGATTTAAAAGAGGAACTTGAACTTTTTCCAACGTAATATGACTACTCGGTTGCAACAAATTGACTGTTGCACTTCTACAATACGACGAGTTCCTTATATAAGACTCTGCAGACGTACGACTGACTCAAGAGACTAAAAAGCTGAAAGATAAAAACGAGAAATGTAACGAGAAATGTAGCGAGAAAAAAATAGAGCTGCACTCACACATAAGTGATTTGAAAGTGTCCCTCTCTTTAGAACGAAACATACTCAGAAAGAAAAGATCTTATATTGTCACAGCAAAATTATTTTAATTTTCCATTAAATACAACATAAAAATAATTGAACTTCATTATTATAATCAATTTTTATTAAGAAATCTCGTTGAGTAAATCTATAGAAATAGAAATTCGAATTTGCTACTAAAACAAATTCAATTTGCCTCTAAAATAAAATAGAATTTTCCATAATAATGATAGAAACTTGCAAAATTATTTTTAACAAACAAAATTAATATATATATATTCTTAACAAATATTCTTAATAAATCTGTTTGTGTAATAATTAGCGATAATTGCTATAACAGTATCAAGTATATTATATCAGTAATTTTCTTTATATTAATATACGTCTAACAAGACAAGTCATTAAAGCGTCTTTTTTAAGTCTTTACCTCAAAATTCTGAAGAGAGTTGGAGAACTTAGAACTGATTAAATTCAGAATTACGATTGTGAGTTTTCGCACGTTTTATGTAACAAAAGAAATAATTTTTTTATGATTACATTGTATATCGTAACTACGTTAATGTATGTATATCGCAGAGAATTAACTTTTATAGCTTCTACGCGCTTCTCATCGTCTCCCGCATGTAACTTTCCGTCTGAATACTTCAAATTCAAATAGACGTTTATCCAACTAATAAATAAACAAGGGCTATTTGACCCGAGCTAAGTATTCTACTGATGTATATATCAGTATTAAATAATCAAAGACAAGAATAATAAAACAGATGTTTTGACCTTTAATATGATCATCCTCAGTGTTGAAAAAGCATAGATTATAAAATAACAATAAAATTTTACAAAAATTCTCATGACTGTGAATAATGTTTGATATAAATGTACATGCATAATGTTCGGCTCATATTACACATTCGATCTTGTTTTCGGATGATTAATACTGATATTATTCATTAGATCAAAAATACTCATTTTTAGTCTCGAATAGCTCTTGTCTATATATTTGAATTTATATTCATTAGAGCCTTAAAATGATTTTTAAGTTATTCGTTAGACATTTATCTCTGATAAATTCTATTTCAATTGTGTGCCCGAGAAAATTCATATTATTTTTTAATTACACTAGAACTTTTAAGAATTTCTGACTCTATCTCATTCCAGCTATTATATTACAGATGTACTCTCAATTATTTCTTATAATCTTAATTTTTTATTTAAAAAATTGACAAAGTAAAATTTCGCATAAAATCTTTACGATTTATTTAAATGTGATCTAAAGATATATGTACTGTTTGTATATCATGTAGGTACGGGTGCATGTTTTATATCACAAAAGGATTAGATTTTTACGAATCGTCCGATTATTCCTAGCTCGGTTGAGAGATTTTCGCTTTATGATATAATCAATATACGTTATGATAATATATGTATATATTTGATAATATATAAGTCATATTTTAATAATTTGACAAACATTCCTTCATGATTATGAACTTTATTTTCGAGATGCGTTTTCACTGTATCTCACTCTCTTCATTATATGTTGCTCAAACTTTTTACATAATAATGCCCAGCATTATGTTAGATTATAATTGCAATATGTGTCTTCATATTCTAGAAAAGATAAAGAACAATATAATTGCAAATAACTTTACATCATTATAAATCTTATCATCGTGATTACTTGTACAATCATAAATCGCACATGATATATATAGCATTATTTGATATCAAGAATACGCGAAGTTACATTTTAAAAAATTTCGAGGTGTATTATTATTCACGTGGCTCCTTCAATCGTATCTCTCGAATTTTTACGCGCTCTAAATTAGGACATGTATGTACATAGCGCATACATTGCGACCTACCTCTCTTCGAGATATCCAAGTGGAATAATGGTGCAAGTAGAACAGCCCTTCAAAAATTCACCGAGTTTGATTACAGTATCGTTTCTCTTTCCAGGCGTATATGGACACAATTTTATGCGGGCGTGGGTATCTTCCCAAGTATTTTCTCATTTTCTCACTTTGTGGACGGAATCTACGTCACGTATACAAATAGTGGCTATTTCGGCATCATAGCTCTGCAATTTTCATTCCGACTCGCGAGAATATGCCGGTTTTCATCCACTATGAAGATCAAGCGTAACGTCAAGTCCGAGGAAATTTAAAAAAGCGCCAGCTTATCAACTCTTTTACCTGGTGGTGCACCATATATGATACATAACTTCAATTAGCGTTACAGTCTGTGCATGAAAGCTTTTCATCATTTCCTCCGTTTCCGTTTTACATCTGAAAATTAATCTGAATATCATAATTTGATACTTTTGCTGTTAAAAGAGAGAAATGTATCATTTTTATCTTCCATTAATCCTATTTAACATAAGACATTTTTAAACAATTTTTATGAAAAAAAAAAGATTCAACAAATAGAAAGAGTTAAGGATCAAATATGAATACTCAAAACCATGAGAATAAACAACATTTTCATACAGATTGGTTTCTCGCTGTATACATACGAGATAACTCATCATCAATCTTCAATAGCTTTTTTATTTTAAAAATCAGAATTGTTATTTAGTAAAAACATCGAAGAGAGGAATATTATTTCTTCGCGATTTTTCAAAATTGTACTGCGATAGCAGTGTTTCATTTTAAATTATCAATTTAAAATCAAATACCGCTTAAAATGAAACAAAAAATGAAAAAATCTTATTATATATTTTCATTACTATAGAATTTAACTAAAAAAAAAAGAATATTTTTTCAGCGTAAATACATGCCGTCCTTTCGTTTTTACAATTAAAGGCTGCATTAATTCAAGAGATATTACGTGTCGTTATCTAAAGAGTAATACATCACGAGAGAGCACATCACGCTGAACGCGACGCGATGCGACGCGACGCGACGCGACGCGACGCGACACAACGCAAGGCGCCGGGGCACAGGGCGACACGGATCGAAGGTAAGTAATTAAAATGGAATCCGACCGCATCGTAACCGCTCGCGGAGACAGGGATAGAGGTTGAGGGGGTGACTACGACGTGCGTAGAACATCCCTGGTCGAATGGAACTGCGATTACAATTCCAGAATGCTGCCGAACAGGTCGAAAACCGGTTATATCCGTTCGCACGCGGGTCAACTGCCAGGACGAGGTAGCCCCGTTTACTTCTCCGCTTCTCCATCCGTTTACTGACGCCGTATCCTACCTTACTCCAATATCCGTACCTCTTCCCCTTTCCGCGACTTCCCCTGTCCAGCTCTCTCCCTCTCACCGTCTCTCTTATTCGCCCCGTCGCGTCGTCGGCTACGGCAATGGAATTCGAATTGTAATTTCTAACCGCGCGACTACGCACGAGCCATTACCTTGCCGTTCGAAATTCGTAAACGGATTGCGGATTCCCGGACTTCCACGCGGCTCGTACTAAGAATCCATCCTATCGAGGCTTCCGTGCCGAATATGCGTGATACGTGCCGCTCGAGAACCGGGGCTTTTCGTTCGGTTTGCCTTGTGTCATATTTCGAGTTGTGTATCGATATGGTATTTCGTATTTGCGTCATTGCTTCCTTCGAAATGCTTCTGTGAATGCATCACTGCCGTTTTCAATCGTGAATACATCCTCCACTGATGTGACGTAGCTATTTGCCAGTCATCACACTAATGGCACCCCTGTTATTTAATATATCGTTCGTTATATGTATATTCAACGTTACAATCATAGAGCTACGAACCATTGACTGGCACTTCAGTAATCATATCAAGGATATTCACTAATTGTAAGATGACAAACAAGCCGTCATGTTATTGTCTCAGTTGTGGTATTTAGAAAAAAAAAAAACAAATTTACTTATGGTATTAATAATAATTTTGTCATACAGGATGGACAATTCTTCTTTGAAATATTATGTGCTAATTAAATATTCATTTATTTTATAATGTCTTTTCTAGATAATCTATATAATTTGTTGTTAAAAACATTTAAGAAATAAAGTATAGATATAATAAGATACATTTGCCATTATTTTTTACAGTTGGATTTAAAAAAAATGTTATAATTGTTTTTAAAATTATTTATATTATAATTTTATACATAAATAAGTGTAATGATTTTTGTCTTAAACATTTTTTTATGCCAATTATTTTATAAACACTTGTAGATTTTTTTATATGTATTTAATACATACACTACCGTTTCTCATAAATTCGGAAACGCTTGCAATTTTTTCGTATCTCATGAAAAATTAAGTGTCTCAGTGAAAAAAAATTATGGAGAAATTTTCAAAAATGCATTTTAAAGAGGAGAGCTGTAAAAATTTCTTTTTATAGTTTCATTTCTATGATATTTTGTTCTTATTACAGAATTAAAAATTTTTCAATATTTTTATTTTACTCTGAAGCGCTGTGGCTCGATGAAACATCATCGGACAAAAATTAACGAAAAAATATTTTAACGAAAAAGTATAAGGCTTCTTTTATAGTATATTTTAAAATGGTATTTTAGATAAATTGGTGCAATGATATTGAACTTTTTTAATAAAAACTCATTTTTACAAAATGCTTTTAACTTAAAGAAGAAAGTATAAAATTAAAGAGTTCATAGAATAAAAAAAAGAAAAAATTTATTATAATGTTCTCAATTTACATTCATTAAAAAATTTTTTTCATTTTTTAAATTTAACTTTTTATGAGAAAGATGCAAGAAAATCGCAAGTATTCTTGAACTTTTAAATGGTAGTGTATATACATTTTGCTTCTCTCTTCTAATTTGTAAATGATGTATTAATAGACAATGAGAAAACATTTTATTAAATTAACGTTTCTATTAAAATTATATTAAATGTCTACGAATAATTAAATATTAATATATTAAAACATACCTAATCTAATATTAAATACTGTAGTAGGTATTAAATTACGAGTTGCTGTCTCTCGTCTGTTATTTTCTGCAAGATATTTAGGAAGATTTTTCCACATTAGGGCACTCTTGCTCACTCAGCGTCATTACTACTTCATTGGGAATAATTCATTCGTTGTTCCGGAAAATAAGTAGACTAACCGTATGGAATGGTGCGCTAATTTCTTTTGATATTAAATATAGCAGAATATATGAAACTTTCAGTCATTTTCCTTCGATCTTTCCACGGTAAAGACATTTTCCTTCCCTCTGCTATAATCGAGATAACGAATCTTCGCTGAGGGAACACGATTATATCGATCATTTCATCGTACGTGGCATCCAGTAACTTCGTGTCTTGTGCACCCTGCCCTTTCACCTTTTCTGTTCTTTCGTCGGTTAGCTTTTATCAGAGAAATCTATAACTCATCCATCTTTAAGATTAATTAACAAGACTAAGTTTTACGCAAATAAATAATTTTTCATTTTCTTGATAATATAATAAAATAATTAAAAAACTAAACCTTCTCTTTTTTGATATTTAATTTCTTAATTAATGTAATTAAAGCCGTGAATAGAGGTGCAATAAAAATTTTATATAATACTATTGCATTTAACAAAAACAAAAATATATCGTTGTACGATTATACATTGATAACAAGGTATGGTTTTCTTAGGAAATTAATTAAAATTTGCCAAGTTAATTCATATTTATTCATTTCGTGATACAGCAAGTACTTTCCGGCGATTCCCTCGAGAGGAAAAGAACACCCTAATAATGCGGCTGAACGAAAGAGAAGCAGGCCATTGGGGGAAAGAGAAGCTCGAATGAATAGCCGACGAAAATGCCTGGCGAGGCGGCTGCTCGCCATGGATCGTACCTATTATGAAATAACGTAAAAGAGACTACAGAAAGAGAGAATGAGAGAGTGCGTGCGCGAATTGAGAGTGAATTTAATTCATAATCTGATGCAATGCCTACTTGCCGGCAACTCAGCTCATCAAGATTTCAGAATGTCTTTCTCTCTTTTTTCTTCTCAACCGTGACAAGTTCGCCCTCTGAATATCTTAGAGACTTTTGCAACTTCATCTCGTTGTAGCGAGCAATATAACGATTAATCTATTTTGCAAAACTATCATATGTGTATGCAGATAATATCATCTTTATAATATTTTTTATAGTCAACAGAAATCAAAACTTAATATTATTTTTAAATAATGCTTAACACTAAAATAATCACCTCATGAAGTATTTTTATACTCCAGTGGCGAAAAAATGTGAGTTGTAAAATATTGTTTTATATGAACATCGTTTAACATTTTTTTTATAATTATTCTTTACGAATAATACCTTTAAATACGGAATTCCATCAAAAACTCGCAATAAAAAACGTTATATTAATTAAAATCTTTATTTATTAGAAATACTGTCATCATAAGCTACTTAACGCTTATTTCGTTTAATATGCAATGTGTGTGTGTGTGTGTGTGTGTGTGTGTGTGTGTGTGTGTGTTTAATTTCTACTTATTTTTTTAGAAAATTGTGATTAAATCCATAATTTTCGCAAATTCTAAATAATTCTTAATAAGTTAGAAAACAATTAATAATACATAATATGTTAATAATAGTAATTATAATTGATGTGTAAAACATTTCAGATAATCATTAAAAAATCCGGTAATCGTACTCTCGAGTTAAATGGTTGTGTAAGATAATAAAATTGTCAGCTTGTCTCAACATTAAAAAAATACATACAACAATTGCCGAGAGAATCATTTGCATTTTGATAATAATAATATGTGAAGCTTTTACATTAAAATGACAACTATTCGGACATTTACATTTGGAATCAATATTTCCGCAAACACTGTCTATGATGTATGTAACCACGACAGAATGATGAACGTAGAAAGGAAATACATGGCATGAGGCAAGGATTTCAGAACGTTGAAGCCGAACGAAACGAACGGTGCCGATTAAGCGCCGCTAAACTTCGCCGCCGTCCTGTCCCAATTCGGACGGAATGGCGTGGTTTTAATTAGCGACCACCGGGCGAGCTTACGGGCTTATAAACTGATAGTAACTTGTCAGCGGGGGGAACGCCGTGTTATGCGTAAAATGATTTCACAAGCCGCCTTGGGCTGCACGCGTAATTAATCCTCTGGTTAGTATGCCGACCGGTGAGTCGCGGCTTGTTACAACATTCGCGACAATAAACGGCGAAATATTGCGCAAAGGTTGACACATTCCCCACACGCCCACCGATCCTCGTTATACAGAGCGGCGTGTATCTACTATCAGAGCTTCGCTCTACTGACGTATCCGACGTTGTTGAACTTTCATGCCATCCTCCTATACAGCTCTGCCGCATAAACACATAGTCGGCCTGATTTAATCCGTCGATGGTAGATAGCGTCTCACTTCGCGGATTCATGCGACTCCACCACGCGACCCGAATGTTACGAGCACCCAGTTACCTTTTCCTCAACACCTCGCTAGAGATGCCCCTCCCCTCACCCCCTGGATTTTCTATTTAGCTTACCCACGGCAAACAGAATCATGCGTTGGGGGATGAAACGTTTGCGGAGTTCCCCGTAATCCGCTGCGTTGTAACTTGTGGTTGGCTGCTGAGTACTTAACCAGAATTGGAAAGTAAAATTTGAACGATAAGTAAATTATTAATTATCAATTGTTAATAACGTGCGAATCTCAATTAATTTAAGAATGACTGGCTGCGTTTAGTAGAAAAAGCAACTTTGTAACTGTTGTAAAACCTTTTAATATGTGTGGTTGGTCTTGCTCTTAATTTCTCTAAATGTATAAATCAATCATATTCAAGAATTTTATAACGATTGCAAAGTTGCTTTTTGCTGAACGCAACCAAAAATTACAAAGATTTGTTCTTTGTTCTTTCATCGCACTATTTATTTATCTTTCATTTATTGTGCTACATCGGATACAACAAATGAAAGATACATTAAAAAATGATAAGATATTTGATATTTTTCATTTATAAAAAATATTTGATAAAACTACTTCTGCTTATGTCAATTAGAGAAAGGATTAAGAATCGAAGGAAGATGAGGAAGAGATAATCGCGATTCACATAGAGTTCTTACGTAACCCGTTCTTTTATTACATATGTCGAGCATATTCATAAGAATGTCTCGCTTCTTTGGTTTTCTTGTAAATAACAACATTCAAATCAACGTCGCAAAGCATAAATATTATAATAATATATATATTATATAACATATATATATTTATATATGTATACCCAATATAGTCCCCCGTAATTCGTATATTTATATATTTATATATTTGTATTTTCATATTTATAATTTGCGTTATGTATACATATATACCTTTGCGATTTAATACGGTCTCATCACGCACTTACAACGCTAAGACGGCGAATTTCTTTCACATTTCTTTTTCACGTCGATCCGCTTTTTTTTATTACTTTAGAGGCTACGGTCAAAATATCTCTCGCTAAGATTTACCCTTCTTGCGCGTTTCTCCGCGCGTGAGAAACGATGGCGAAAGTACGAAAAAACTTAAAAGCGAAAATTCACGAAACGGAAAAATGGATTAATGATGCTGGTGTACGTAAAATGCCGTACATTACCATCGCTGGTTGCAAAGCTTATTCTACGTGCAATTCTTATCACTGGTATACTTCTATTTACAGGGTTCGCCAATGACGAGTTCGAGCATTCTTAGACCGATAATTTGAATAATCCACGTCACCATTTTCCCTTAGCCATTCACAGATTTCATTAAAATCCTTTGATTGTAGTAAGTTTAGAGGTAACTTTCGAATTATTTCTTTTCGTACTATTTCTTTTTTTTTATCTTTGACTAATCTACTGTCTCTCAATTTCATTGATTCCGCATGTGATTCGTGAGTCCGATAGTGGGTTTTTATTCTAAATTTATAGAATCTATTTAAGTTAAGAGTCAAAAGAATCGAAAATGAATTCTATCGCTACTACAATGCTAACGGAAAATGGCATTACGCATGGGTGTTACAAGCAAGAAGTCACTGTCGTTTTACATGTAATCACATACACGCGTATACATACACGTACATACACATGTACAATGTGGATTCTACTTGCGGGCAGTGATTGGTTCTCAATAGGTGATAGCTTTAGAGTTTTTAAATAAAGCCTGAAAAGAACATCTTTACTTTGTTGCATAATAGTTCTGGATTTTTAATGGATAAATTTATTCAAGATGTTCGAATGATTGTTCTATATTTTTGTTTTACAAAAGATTGTAAAATATAGTGCGCTTGTAACTAGCTCAATCCATTACGTAACAAAATTTTTAAGCATTATTTAATCCTTCATCGGCAATGTGAAATTTTCACCCTTCGTCTGCAATCTGAGTCTTCGAACTCCAGATTTTTATATTATGTCGAACTATATAAAAATATGAAAAAATTCTTACATTTTTGTAAAAGCTTTAACAACAAATTTTTACTATCATAGAAGTTGAATTATATTTTAATTATTTTTTACAGATTTAAATTTATCCACCAGAATTCGCAATCAAAAAAACTGACTATGCCTTTAAGACCAACATTGCCGGCAGAGGGTTAATTAGTCGTGCCTATTAGTTATGTGAAATAAATATTCACTGTACCAAAATAACAAACGAATTCAATTATCTTTGAGTTTGTGAAAGAATTGCAAAGTGTTCGTATTTATCTTTCTTACTCAAAATTATATAAAATTGATAAAATTTTGTATAATTAGATTAAACTGTAATTTGAAAATTTCAGTAACAGTTAACATTAATATAAAGAAAAATTCAAAAACACTTGTGCATCATTTTGATGGCAAGTAATAATATTGGTCTAAAACTTTATTTAAAGGCTATCGACGTATATCGCCGAGTACAATCTATATATTGCTATGCAATATATTGTGTTTGATTGCTTTTTTCCGCAATTTTACTTTTATCAAACAAATTGTTTATAATATATCTATAAAAATGCTTTTTAATCAGAAATATCAGTATTCGTTCATGCGTAAATGCACGCAATAAATATATTTTAATCGATAAGTTGAGAAACAATCGTAGCTTTGACCAGATTGGGATTTGAATTCGTCGAAGTAATCTCTACAGATTGCAAACGTTGCGATGTTCTAAAGGCGCATGATCCCCTCATGTTAAATGCTTATGACTTTTAAGATCACTAGTCTCGCGAATGATACGATTACAGACCTCATCAGAGTAAGTCTGCGTAATCCCTAAGTCGACCCGTTCCCTTCTTTAATCCATGGCGGGCATTAACTCCTTTGCGCGCCGAGTGCAGGGACTCTCTCGAACCTGTTGCTTTAAACAAGATGTACGCTGAATAATGGATATTCCTAAGTAGTTAGAAGTCCGCTTAAAACCCGGTACGGCCGAGCCAGCCTCTCTCACGACCGCCTACGAATAAATCCCAATTTGATCAATTAATACGTAAATAAATCGATCGCCCGACGCAACAGCGTGAAAAGTGGGTTTGATATTTATAGCAAATATGTAATTTACCTTGCAATTATTTCCTGTTGATTCTATCAAATGGACACTCAGCCGGAAAATTTTTGGTGCCGATTCAGTTTGATTACGAAACGTACACACGTCGATGTTTCGCTATGTGTAGTATCGATGTGCGTATATACGTATGGAAAGTTACTAAGGCGGTATTCATAGTCGATACTTATTTTAAACTATCTAAGTAATATCTTAAGATACTGATACGATTTTATGATTGGTTGATGATATCTTAAAAGATTATTTAAGACAGTATTAAATATAAGAATCGAATATAAACACCGATCTTAGAGTACACATTTCTTTCTGTTTGTATAAATCGCTTATCTTTAACGTTAAGAAGTAATAAAAGATAATAGGTCACAAAAGAGTTTCAATAATATATGCTTATATATAAGGCTTCTGATCACAGTTGCCGTCCTCAGGATCATGATGTCAAAAGCGAGAAACGCAAATCGCGCTTACATCAAAATAAATTGTTTTTTTCGTACATCATCACAAACATGTTTCGCTAGATAACGTACATATATAATAAAATACGAAAATTTTCTTTTACAGTCACATAAATAAAATATACATATAATTTGATCTACACACATTCTATTTCGAGAGAAAATGGATTTTACAACAGTTTATCAAGATTTAGAACTGGTTATTATTTCACAGAATAAGGGGTATATTCGGCATATTCGATAAATATTTTCCATTCAAGACGGGTCTCGACATGTAAGAGAGTTATTAAATTATTTTGAGGTACAGTATCAAGAAGAAAATAAATTTAAATGACTTTCCACTTTTCTGATTCTGTATGATTGCGCGCAAGCAGGTAATTGGAATTATACTCTCTAAATCTGAATCAGTAGATAATCACTGATCTCAGTGCCAAGTATGCCACTGATAATCAGTGAATTAAATGTGAGATTCCTAACCTAGCTAATCTTTATTATGTGATCTAACTAATCTTGTTTTAGTTGTTAAATTCAATGAATATGGTATTGGAAGATTGAAATTAACGTGCAAATATCAGTAGTCAAATAATGCTCAAATATTCTTTCTTTTTTAGTTGAACTTCACTAATTATCAGTGCCAAGTATGCCACTGGGTAATTAGTGACTATCCACTGATTCAGATTTAGAGAGTAATTAAATAAAGGAAGAACATGTGCCTGTATATAATGTAAAAAGAGGATTGCGGCATTCTCAGAGCAATACCGGATTGATTCGTATACAACTGATAGTGTTCAACTTGTTACGATATATCTCCATTTCTTTCTTTGCAAATTTTCCATTTTCTTCTTTTTCTTTCCTTCCCTCTCCCGCGCTCTGTTCGTACTTTCTCCGACTGCCTCTCCAGATGAGAACAACTCTCCCGTACCGAATCTGACGTTTTAATCTCAAGTATCCAGATGGGTTCCATGATTTCGTACGTAAGGAGGTAAGGATAGGAGGTGGAAAGAATTGGAAAATTTAAAAAGTACTTGGCAGAACGAGAAAGTTCACCGCGAAGTAAAAAAGTAAAATTGATGCTGGAGATAATAATATATACACGCATTTTATACATTTTATATAAATTAAAGAAGAAAAAACAAAGAAATAGCCGATACTTAAGGGATACATACAGTCGAGCCGTGACTACGTATGCGGATAGAACCTGATGTTGATGGAGAATTAACTTTGCTCGAAGCGTGACTAACACCCATGAGTCTCCTCGGGACACATATCGTCGTGACGAATCTCCGAACGCAAGCATTCCTATGTTATTGACGAAATTGAGAACCCTCACGCATCGATCGTACAAACGAGAGAAGAAAACTATTTCGGCAGGGGGATATAAGTTCAAAAATGTTGGAAAACTAGTTGGCTCGGTGAAACTTTAATTCAGTATTAAGCTCGAACGATTTCGTTTTGATATTCCAGAAATGTCATTTAGTTGCGTGCGACTGAAATACTCCCACATAGTGTAGTTTAAAAAACGTAACGACTCACTCTCACACACGTTCCGGGTCGCACTCTCTCGCGGAGACGAGATCACTGGTATTTGTTGGTTTGAAGTCATTGTTACGGCGTTATACAATATATTACACTGAAAGCGATAGTCGTTGCACTTTGTTAATACCCTCCTCTTTCCTCTCGTTCTCGTTGTTCCATCTCTCGGTGCGTGACTCACCCCCCCCTCATCTCCGGGCCATACAACGCACAATCGATGAAGAAAAGATCGATGAGGATTCATGTCCCTTAAATTCTTGGCCACTCGTGGACTTTCGTTGCTACACTAACTTGGCACGCGTAAATTACTCTCCGTCATTTAATACGGACGCTATCTACTCCAGTCAGTCTTTGTGTCATCTTTTGTAATTGCGTGCGCGCGCGTATGTGTGTGTGTTGTGTGTGCGCATATACGTGTATTGTGTACGAGTCTGTTTTTCGTTTAAGTTCTAATTTTTCTTCTTTTTATTTTCTCTTTAATTGAATCCGTTAATTAGGGAGACCACCACCGATATCAACAACGAGGTCGTCGTTCGCTTTCTTTTTCTTTTCGGATCTTGCTTATCGAATTATCGTTACCACCAGGGCAATTAGTAGAAGCGTCACGGTCGTCATCACGCCCGTTGCTGAATCTGAAATTAGACAAGATATTTCACTGTTTAAGATTGAAAGCGAATCAATATGAAGATTTTCTATAGAAGCTATATTTGCCAGTTTAAATACATTTAATATTTATAAGAATCAGTAATTTGTTTATAACTGTTAATGTTTTTGCTTCATTTTGAAGCAAACAGCGCACAAATTTTGATACTAACGTTAATAAATCTCCGCGTTCATAAATCATTTAATTCTTTCTAAATAACTAGTTATATTTGAAATTACTCTTTAAAATATAATATTACAGTGGATAAGAGAGCGTGAGAGAATTGCGAACAGGAGGTGAACGTGAACGATATTATTAGCAGTATATATTAGAGTAGTGATAATCTCGCATTTCTCGCACCCAGCGATAGTCCGATATACTATCAGTTTCATACTACAATATGTAATCATAGACTGTTTAAGATAAATACAATTACATATTTTCGATGTTTTTGAGAATAAAGGAAAGTAGGATAATTCTGAACATCTAAGAAAAATATTAAATATATATAAAATCAACAACTATTTATTATCGTTTTTAATTTTTATATTATAGAAGTCTTTATTCAAAGGCTATTTGACTTTAAATTACTATAATTAACATTCATATAGTATTAATATAAATCATAACTTTAAACAAAAACCGTTCGGTATTACCTGTGCGTGCGTGTGACAAGAATTTTACTTTTATTAAAAATTTTAGTTTATATTAATACTATATATGAACGTTAATTATTATAGTTCAAATAATTGAAATATTCTTTCGAATAAAAGCTTCTTATACAGTTGATAAATAATCGTTGGTTTTATTTAACTTTTTCCTTAGTGCTTGCAGTTCCTTCACTCTCCCCATATATATATTGTACCAGATTCTAATATCTCGAGAAAACTGTAGCATGGAGACCTTCGCTCTCGCAATGATACGGGATAAAAAGGGAAGGGTTCTCTCGCCATCGGTAGCCTCGAGAGGTCAATGCACAATCAAGGGCTTGGGATGACGAGAATCTGTCGTTACCCCGTTGCAGGAAGGTTGGTACGGAAGAATCCCTCTCCCTCTGAGAGAGGATATGCCGAGAAAACGGAGACGAGTGCAAAGGGATGAGTGCCGATTAGTCGACGGCTCAAGCGAAGTAGATACAGAAGAGAGAAATAAAGATAGACGAGAGGAAAGAGGAGGAGGGGAAAAAAGAAAAAAATGAAGAGAAAAATGGGGGAAAAATGGGAAGTCAGTTATTCTTCCGGTTGGTCTGCACTGTGCCGTTAGCTATTACTCGCTTGGAGAGAAATGTATTCTCCGGCCTTTTCCTGGCCTCACTCATCTCTAATTACGAATCAGAAACAACCTGGTGGGCCGTCGCCTCCGCTGGCCGAATCACCTCCTTCCCCATCTCCTTCATCCTTTTCTGTTCTCCGCGACCCTTTCTAGAGTCTTCCCGACTCTCATCCAAGGCTCGCAAGCAGTAACTTGCCTCCCTGACCCCTTTTTCCCCCTTCTTCGTTTTTCTTTTATCCGGTCCCTGACGCTGCCCCGAGAGAATTCTTCGCTTCGCTACTTTTGTACGATCTTACCTTCCTTCAATTCGCGATTTCTAGCCCTTTCTTATCCTTCTCCCCTTTCCTCGTCCCTTTCCTTTCCTCTTCTTATCTTATCTCTCCTCTCTTCTCCTTTTCTTTTACAAAAGGAAAATGCGTTATGTATTTATAGTTAATATTTACATTTCATTGTTACACTCGAAAACGCGAGAATTGCAAATTGCTGTGTCTCGTCTCATTAGATTCGTAATTCGAGATTTTAACTCGCCGTACATTTTCCTGATTTACACGCTGTCCATACTCGAGAGTACATATCGCGTCTACGTTTACTTGACACATTGAAAAATCGACATGTGACACGTGACATATAATTTCTTATCTTTCGGTATCGAAATAACATCGGACATCGAACTCGTTGCGACCATATCGCTGTCTCGTCGAACAGTTAGTAATTTGACGTTAATCTCACAGCAGAATTTTCCATAGAACGTCCGATATTTCTGGCATTCTTTCCATCGCACTTACATGTGGCAGCTTGCGCAACGCAGTTTCCCTCGTTACTAGTTCAACCCGCCTTTTTCCATGCGAAATTACCTTACTTCCCTGAGACTATCGCGATCGTCCCCGCGGAGAAAACGGATTTTCACACTACGCCATTATGCAAATTCCTCTTAAAAGTAACCGCGGTCGAGCGAGATATTGAGAGACGGTAGCGCAGAAGCGTAGAAGGAAGCAAAGCCGGGACAGGGATCGAATTACTGAAGAGACGCGGGGGTGAAGACGGATCGTGGAAGGAGGAAAAAATGCGAGGGTAGAAAAGAATTATCCGATAATGCCGAAGGCTCGGCGGAATTATGAAAGGTGCTACCACACCTGGCCGCGCTCAGAAATGCGGTAGACGCGGCCGCTCAAATGCCACGGCGGAGCCGCGAAATGCCAGATAAATGTGTAGGGGCTCATTCGTCTTTCGCGACAAGGGATTCGTAGAAGCCAGATTTCATAAAACAACGAACAACCCCGTTTGTTGTTTAATGCACATACAGTAGGGGAGAGTGGTCTAAATCGGACCTACATATTTGCAATTTTTGCTCTCTATAAGGCATAAATAAAGTCCGATCGTATAATCGAAGGTGCTATTGGAAAGATCATTTAATTCCCTTCATTTTTGCTT